TGTACAAAGTTCTGTTAATGACAAGGGGTCTCATATAGAATCCCGATTCTAGCTACAATATCAACTACAACATACACACGTCATCAGGACGTAGCTTGGATATTGCCGACAAATAAACAAACATACATAAACAAACGTTTGCCGTGTCCATATACGCTATATTTCGATAACACAGTGTAACCATTTTAGTTATTGAAATACATTTACCTACATTCTGGGATTAAACTGTTTTAATCCCTTTATTTTATATTTACCGTAAAAACGTTTGACTTGGGTGTCTGGTCTCCACTTGTTTTGCATATATAGTGCGTCTTTACCGTAAGACCGGTATCACTTGAAGACATTAATGTCGTGTTACAGAACACATCTAATCCTGTAACATAACACCGATAGGCTGTTGCAGCCTGGGTCTTCATGACCTCATCGTTCTGCAAGATCTACCAACATCCCTAATGTCCGTCATTTGTTCTTATTAGCTTTTAAGAATTCCCTCTAGCATTGCGTGGTTATTTTAAAAGTTTATTTTTTTCATCCATAAATGTTACACGTATTGCAAACCGGATACGCAACTGATAATTGTTTCTATGTAAAAGGAACATCATTCCTACGTATCCCTTTATTTCGCATATAAGTGAATATTCATAAATACTGATCATACGTCATAACAATATGAAGATATATTATATATTAAACACTGTGGAATGAACACATTAAAAGTCAACTTTACTTTTAAAAATAAACAAGCCTTCTTATAAATGAAAAATTAACTTAAGTGATATTTAAATTTTAACTTACTATTACTTTGCCAAACATTATATACTGTATTGATTAAATGTAATAATGTGATTCACGTGCATCGTATATAAATCATAGGATATTAGCTCTGCATAACAACGTTGGATACATGTACAGGTTCTATACACCCACCCACACACTGAGCCATCGGTAGACCTTATTCAATCGACCTGTTGGAGACTCGATCTACGAGTACCGTTAGCTTTGGTCCACGCCTACAATGTAATTAAGAAAATCTCCGACTGCCTTGATCATTTATTGATGCGATTTGTCTGAAGGAGTGATCTGCTTTCCGAGTGCAGTGTCGGTGTCGACGTAGACGTGCGTCTCCGGAGACGTACCAGCCGTGTGTGACGTAGACTTTGTCTACACCTCAGTACAAACACGGCTCTCGTGCCTATCCTAAATGTTGTCTCACTAACCTTACCTTATTGTTGTTCCTGATTTTACTGAAGGTAAAACACCCAACCGAACCAAACCGTTAAACTTATGAGCAGTGACATCGATGTTTAGGTTAAGTAGTATTGATCACACTTTAACGTAGAATACAAGGAAACGGAACATGTTGTGAAACAAATATATTATACACCCTGGACTCGATTCAGTCATAGATGATGAACATATACAAATAACAGATTGATTGGCATTCTGAAAGTTTTTCTTCTTTTTCTTACATATTCAATTGACTGTTTGATTGACAATCTATAAGCGTTTTTCTTCGTTTTCTTACATATTCAATAAAATGCAATGTGCGTCCGTTGCTTAGGGTACATTTAAGTGGCATTTTAGAATATGTAGTAGCACCGAGTGACGGACAGGTAACGCATGGATGTCCACGTCATTCGTCCCTCACATCTTCCAGAACTTGCTGGATCAAGGTACATGTTCCAGCACCTGTACTGACTCGCAACAATTAATGCATTGAGAAGTTGACATCTTGAAGTAAACATCTCCGTACATTTCTTACAGTAAGATATATTAATCTTGAAACTTTTATGCCTGCATTTTATGTACATAGATATACATGCACGCTATCCTAATTGTCACGTCATGGTAAGCACTGCTTTCCGTTGTGTATTCACATTATAACTTGAAATTTGCACAGCAGTGGATTAGGTAAACATAATCGTCTTTGAAATTAACAACACGTTATCATAGGAAAAGAGTAAGAACAACAGTGTGACGACTGGGATATGTACTGCTTCCATGACGGTTATAGCTGGGCTGTAATTCTCCTGTAGTAATGAGGGCTAATCCAGCTTACTGGTTCTATAACAGCTACGGTAGCTTGTATATTAGGCAAGCACATGCAGATCATTACCAGCTTTTGTAATCTATATCAGCATCGACATTATTACACAAGAAGACTTATTTAATGAAGTGTTATTGATAAAGCGCTTATGATGCCAGGGTAATCTTATTTATACATTGCTGGCTATTTTGGTTCATCGTGTTGATGTGACACCTTTTGTTAATGGCGTGGGGACTACTGTCATTCAGGTTTGTTATACATGCCCCGGGGGACTGACTTTGTGTCCTGTGGGGTTACTCGGGGGTCGTATCAAAACCGATTTCACTCTTTTAACATTGGTTCAGAATTTTAACATGTCATATTTTTGTCAAATTACACAAACAATCACGCTCGAATTGTGATAAAACTCCGGACACTGTTTAATGAGAACATCTCATAACTACAACCATACAGCTTCTCTCAGTTATATCTCTGGGGAGACATGTTAACACAGGTATTAACATAAAGGCATGGGGTGAATCAAAAATGAATGATTCATGGTTTTGTAATGCGAAACTACCTGTATAGTGTTTCTAACCACCGTCTCATCTAAATGAACATAAGATGAACGAGTATCTGCCTATAGAGACTGTTTGCGCCGAGTAAGGTGTTTCAGGTTCCAACTTCTCATCAAGGCTTGACGAGCTCAGTTCATACCTACACAAAACAAGCTGGATTTCTCGGATTCCAGGTGTCTAGTAACTCAGGTCACCTTTCATGCAAAGTTAATAACCCAGGTTAGTCAACATTCGAAATAATCGTAACCATTTCCAGAATGAAAATATAATAGATAACTGTTCTAAAACGTCTCCGTGTACACCTGCAAACTAAATTCATTATCTGCAAGTTTGTAAGGAATCAAAGCAGTCGTTTTGTTTGTCATTAATGCAATAGAGCGGCACAATGTCGGGTTTAAGATCATTACTTCTTGCATAAGATGTATATTTCTACTTACATATACAGACATTTTACAAGGGTAGGAGTACGCTGAAGAAAAGCGTAGTTTCACTAGTTGCTTACATCTTATACAGGATCTAATATCTTCCTTACATGGACAGAAGCTTACCTTAGACACAATGCTGCATGGCGCATATACGAGTATATAAGACAGAGCTTACTCGTGTATTCAACCTGGGAAAAACTACTGTACCGTTGTAGGGTAACGCTTCCTTCTTTTCAAAAAAATACTTTTTTATTCTTGTATAATAAACTATCCTTAACCCAGGAATAGATCCACACGAATTACTGATGCACTTACAGAGCTACTATTTATAAACATAGTAAAATACTAAAATATTTTACGACCATAAAACACCCCAATAATTCCAAGTCGAGCATATATCTGACTGTATAATATTCCCCCTTTATTACGTCGCGTTTCTTGCCTTTGTCTGATGTTGGTCTATTACGCCTGTGTCTGTTGAGTTACACATGGTACACACATTGCACAGTCACAGCACCTACCTGCAATATGTGTTATCTTGCCACTATATATATCCCCTCTTACAACAATGCGTCCCAAAATAGACACCTTTTCACGGAGGGTCTACCTATAGCCGGGTAGTAGGTTAGATTCATATAACAGTGCAGAGTTGCTACCTATCAGCCAGTACCGTGTTAGCCCATCAACATACTGTGTATAGGTTAGTATCCTGCCATGTAGCTTGTCGTCTTTGAATCAATCTTATTTATGATACAACCAAAACGTATTGGATATTTCTGTTGGCTTATCAGATGTGCTTTTTCACAGCTGTTGAGGTGATAGCAGCAGAATCTGCAGTCATGCATTTGCAGTTTAAATTAACAATTGTATCTGAATTTTAATGTTATAGGGATGGGAAGACAGCATTCTGCAATTACAAACACGTCAAGTTCGTTCATGAAACTTGTTTTCTGTCACATAACACCAAATCGATTAAATATACTTATCCTTTTCAGCAGGTGATGGTCTAAATAGGACAAAATGAACATTCTTGGTTTAAAAAATCTATCTTCCAGAACCATTACTACTATTTATTAATAATCCTGGTATGTGACTGATTAAGTATGGTTTTACGCCGCTTTTAGCAATATTCCAGCAATATCACGGCGGGGGACACCAGAAATCCTGATATGTGAATGACCTCTATGTTAATATTAATGAAAACTATGGAAACGCCGGTTTAACTTTTGTACTTAATAAAATACCATGGCAATTACACCGTAGAACATGTACACATATCGCACCAATCATCACTAGTGGCTGCACTGATATTTTAATTCAGTGGAATAATTTGATATTAAGTATTTTAATATTTAATAATTCCACTTTCGAAAATGTCAGTGGAAAGCAAATGAATTAATGCCATCATACTGATGAAACTGCCTGTGCACCTAACCAGTGGTCGTCATATTAACACTGGCTATGGATGACAGCTTATATCAATTCGTCTGCATCACTAAACACATTAGATATGCCCTACAACCTACATCCTAGACGTTTCATATAACACTTAGCATTAAATCAGTTCTACAATTTGAGGTCAACTTCCGCTATTGAAGGTTATTACATAATGGCTGCAATAAACACTAGCGTGTTATAATCACAAGCTTGATCTAATTCTTTGTTTAATGTGTCAATGCTAGCAATGGCCTGATTTTGTAATAAACAAGACATTGAAGTTGTTTCAACCGCAATAAACATGCGCACTCTTCTAGCACCTCTCATTAATACTCTTTAAAACAAACAACTGTGGTTCTACAGTTTACCTGAACTAATGCTCTTTGAACTACTGATAATTGTTGAGCATTTTACCTGAATCTATCCCATTGTGTATCCACCATCAGGGCCACATGTCACAAATCTCCAGCCAATAACAAGTATAAATATCACACTTGGTAACAGTATCCACTGTAGACAAACAAAACAATCCAATTAAAACGGCAACAAGACTTTATATACAACTGCGAACCTTCAGTTACATCCAACACTCTATACGTCCGCTATAGTATATATATAATATGTATATATATACACATCTCGCTCAATTTGTACAACATGTTGGTGTACAATGCTTGGTACGTACCCTGGTAACAATCCTACCTACATAGATACCACAGTACCTGGTACAACCAGCCTCTTGGAACAGGAACTAGAATCTGTCCCCAGAAACCATCTTCTATGTAATCCACTGTGCCTCTTCGCTCATATATCATATATTTAGTGTTACTTCTCTTCACAAATAAATATAGCCTAATTCATACAAAATATTTTGAGAACATTGACACAAACACCACATATCAGAAAGTTAATCTTCCCCATGACTCATAACCCAAGAGTTGTAGAACCAGATGTGGCGGTTTGAACCCTCATTACATCATAATTGACTGTGTTCACACGCAAGGCGATATACCTGTTAAATAATATTGATGTATTGAAAGATATCGACAGGTTATATTTCATATTTATATTGAAATAGATCATAAAAAAAACTTCATAATTTTCTTTTGGTATAATTTTAAACAATGAAAATTAAAGATTTGGATAATACCATAGTCAAATTCAAATGAAGATTTTATGCTTTAATGGATTTCTTAACTGAATAACTATTTGAAAATAAGTTACATTTACCATGAAACGCTGTCTTCTAAAAGCCTCATGAATATTCATGTATAAAGGACTGAACCAAGGTCATTAATATTGCTTTGTTCTAAGACTGAGAAGTTCTTCCGCTTTCATATGATGCTACAACTTTCAGTGGGGTAAGTTAACAAACCACAATAAATATATCTGTCAACAATATAGGCATTGAGGATATCAAAACAGTTTATACATATGATAAAAAGACCTAGATTCCAACAGATATAGACTTTTCATTAATCAAACAGCCATAGGCTAACACTATGGCAAGGTTGACAGGTAACAGTCTTGTTCATAACCATAACAGTTTCGAAATTTGGAGATAACAAGATAACAGTGAATACCTCACTTAAGGAGTATATATACTGGTATATGTACATATTTGACGAAATAAAATTGGGCTAAAATTGGGCGTTATTAGGCCTAAACAGATCACAAACTTGGTAAACGTATGAATGTGGTATACGATTCTATAATTTGATTTTGTACTAAAATGGTTTTAAAATGAGAAATTTTGTTCCAAAATGAACGCACAACTATGGCATGAGAATTTAAAATACTACGATGGCAGTGAGGGGCATGAGCTAGGATCAACACCTGATGAATAACAGCACTAGGACCCAGTGAGGACACGGTCTATTTGAACACAGAAATTCCATCGCCAGGAGACGATTTCGAAAAAGAAATTGTTTTGTTTTTTAAATGAAAATTTCTCCTAGATTTGTAGTACATACATCTAGATGAGACACACACGGAGATATGTCTACCTTTGCTCCGTTGGTACAAATATTCACAAACCGACTGAATTCACAAAACGGTGTTATCATCATCATCATCATCCCGTGTTGTGGTCCTATAACAAAGTTGGGACCCTGGGGGTAAAGGGTCATTGTACACACACCGATTATCACAAAGCACCCGTTCCTCGAGGGTGAGAGAGGGTTGTTTCCAAAAGGCCTTCGTCTTCGCGTGCCTCCTCCACAAAAACACAACTTTTTGATCCTTGTACGATCAGAATAATCCAAATTACGTAGGGTGTGGGCATACGAGGAAAATACTGTTGAGAATCCAAACCGGTTCGCCTTGCACTAGAAAATATCAACTCCTATACACTTGTACTCCTCCGTGAACAAAATCCTCATTGGGAAAATATCGACTTATCTCCGTGCACAAGCGTAAACATATATCCGTATTTCACAACAAACTTGTATAAACTTTCTGTTAAGATTAATTACATAACCCGCATTATCACCAGAAAAAAGAGTTTTCCCCTCCCGGTTGAATAGCCCTGGTCCAAGATCCCGGGAGGTGTGTGCCCAACATTAGGCACTGGAGCTGTCAGACTCGACGAGCAGGCGTCGCGTCTGGGAGTGTTTCGAGGCGGCTTTTCTGTCGACTTTCCGCGAACACTGGCATCCTTTTTTGCGACATTTATTATAACACATTGTACATCCCCTCATGCAACCTCTTGCCGGCCAGTAGCACCACAAACAGGGCAAGCACAGGGACATCACCGTCATACATGTCCATCGCTTTATGCAGTGAGGTGCGTCCCCACAACACGCACACGGATCCTCATAACATGCCCGGCCTGTCTCCTCGTCCTGCGAGCCGCAGTGGTAGAATACTGTTTTCACGCAGCAAAAACAAGTACAAAAATCCACCCCTTTCTCCAAACTGATTTCACACTTGTCGCCACACAGCCAACGAGAGGGTAAGTCCCGTGGTTCGGTGCACGCCCCACATCTGCACTTTCCACATTTGTTACAAATAATTGATTCTGTGTGATTGTCGCCATCAGTTTCTATAGGTTCCTTCTTCAAGGGAGGGGACACAGAACTTGGTTGTGACGAAATCACGTTACTGTTCAGCGGTGGTCGAATGCTGGTGATACGCACCGGCTGGGTACTTGGCCCCCTTTGGGAGGGGGCCTGGGGGTGGGAGTGAATGCTCCCTCCCCCAGTGGTAATCGGCGCATGTTTTAATGCCGGTAGGGTGTGAGGCCGCAGACTGTCCACATACTCATTCTGTGCCCGGGGCCCGGGGCGAACTTGTCCGAGGGAAACTACAGCCTGTTGTGACGGTAGATCGGGAGGAGGCAAACTTCTCAACATCCCACTATTGGACTGCCTGTCCGCGGGCATATTCGGGATTGCTCAGCCATAACTGTGCATTTCTCAGTGGACCGTCTGCAACAGATAAAAAGGAAGAAATAAACACGAGTCGGTGGATGAAACGGTTAAGGGCCGTGGCATATAAAAACAGTTATTCAGCCCCTGCCTCAGCCCGTGGAGTCGGCACCCACAATTGAGGGCGAGCGACAGACGGGTTTGATTGGCACATGGATGGTCAGCCGAACGCTGTACTGTTGAACATCGACGCGATTAACACACATACTGTTATTTCACCTCAATCTATAATAAAACAATCACGACAGTACCTGATATATTAAATATGTACATTTTATTCTCCGTCAATCCCATCTCGGCCACCTTACGGTGTAGAGTGCCTGGTTGAGTTTTGACACCGAGGCGAGCTCGCGGCTTTCAGTACGGCGCAGTGTGCGCAGTTCTCGGCGAAATCAGATCGAACGAAATGAATAATTACATACCATGGTATCCTGTTTTCATCCCAGGTGTCAATAATCCACATGAATTTTATGAAACATGACTTGAACGGGCTAAATCCTAGGAATAGTTAGCATAAACCATCCGTATATGGCACTACTCGCGGTAATGCGAACCGCAAACGCAAATGACCTCCCTCGAAACTTCCGGCCGGGCTGAACCATTCACAAGCAGGGGGGGCGCAGGATGGAAGTAATAAACATAGATTGGCTCCTTGCCAACATAAAACAACAGTTCCGCCGACGCTCAATCTTCATTCAGAATGCTTCTAAACCAGTGTTATTTGTAATCTCGTAAAAAAAAACCGCCACAAATATATGCAACGGTACATTGGAACAGACGTGCAGATGTTTTGTTTATCTTAAGCCATATAAGGCAATCCGGGGGTGTCACGTGAGCTCGTGCAAACAAACCCAAAGTAATCAATGAAGGGCGAAGGATATTCAATGAACGACTCGGGTCTCCCGCCATAAACAGACAAACCTACATGTGGTTTTTAGCAATTGCGTATGCAGATCGTGTGGGACAGATTACAACTCCAACGTTAGCTGGCAGAACGTTTGCAACTTGCCGGTAAACAAACCAGCTTCGGGACTGGGTCAGCGGCTAGTGACGATGTGCCCTGGTGTATGAAAGGTAATATGTGGGGAGGTTAGCAAGGAGCGAGTAGTTGGGTGTCTTCCCTCTGTAGTTTGGATATGGATGCGGTATGAGGCGCACACTTTACGTCCGACTTTGTGGGATTAGGGACAGATATCCAGTCAATAAGCCCGTTCGGCGTGTTGAGAATGCGTGATCTGGTTGTTACATCTACTGCGGAATTGCATCACTCGAGGAATGAACGTGTCTACTTCAGCGTACTCGGTCGCCGGTCGACAGTGAATCACTGTCTCTGACCGTATTTCTCCTTCAAATCGGAAAGCGGATTATGTGTCGATTACCAAATTACGTCAGGCATATTTCACAGATTTATGATATCCGGAAAGTTCGACACGATCTCAGGGTGAAAATGGCTCGTAGTTCCGCGAAGTGGCCCAACTTTAAGTGTTGTACGTCGTTTAGAGTAATCTCAATCAAAACAAACAATGGTTCTAAGAAATGAAGTGGTGTGATTCAGAGCCCTATTACGACACATTTGAATATATTACAGCTTTTTTTTAAACGTGTTCTTGAATCATCATTAATAAAGTTTTATGTTTCAACTTTTCATTTTAATCAAACCAACCGTTTTTCAACACATTTTACAATAGTTAAGCCTATTCATTTCCACGCCTTAAAATATACACTTATACTAAGTGGCAAATAAATGTATAATACACACGCTTTAATCGGTGTACCTTTACTTGGGACATGTGTTTTGATCATTATCAACATCATCATTAAGATCACCTGTTTAAATCTTGCGGACCTGGGCCCCGATCCACAAAGCTATCTTAGTACTTAGGTGATCGTAACTGCCATACTTTGTCATCGTCATACTGCTAAGATCGCTTTGTGGAACGGAGCCCTGGGTTAGAATATATCCCAAGCACCCAGCTTAGGGTCGTAAGAGGCGACAAACTTGGATCGCATTGTCAGTCGCTGTGATTGTGTGTCATTGTACCCCGACTGCGTCGATCACTCACTCTATCAACCCCAAATATGACTGGTTTACACTCAATTAACCCGTGAAGATCCGGGGTAAAATAGGTCTTTAGCAACCAATACCTGTAGCAAGAGGTGACTATGCTTGTCGGAATTGGCGACTAACGGGATCGTGTGGTCAGGCTCGCTGACTTGGTTGATGCATGTCACCGTATCACAATTGTGTGGATCGATGCTCATATTAATCACTGGATTGTCTGGTCCAGACTGGATTACTTACAGACTGCCGTCATATAACCGAGTGCGGCGTTAAACAAAAAAACAAACAAAAAACACTCGATTATTTGCTAGCCGCCATGATTGAACCACAATATTATTGACTGCGGCGTTAAACAATATTCACCCAACGACAACTATGTTTGATGATGGATCCAAAGAGACGTGAATTTCAATGTTTTATATCTTTGTTTGCATCTTTGGTGCACGTGGCCAGCACGTGATTGAGTTATGTAATTGTTGCTGATCACCCGATTCCTTCATGTTACTGTATGTTATCTGTCATGGCATGACAGGTTAACTGTAGAAATATATAAGGATCGGGTGTTCGTCAACTTCTTTAATGTAGTATATATAAGTAAAAAACAATTACTGCATTTCACTGACTATATACATAATATATAACTTCCACTGATGATGTATTACCTGGATATATAGCACCTACTGATGATATTCATGAATACATAGCACCTACGGGTGATATACTACCTGGATATATAGCACCTACTGATGATATACTACCTGGATATATAGCACCTACTGATGATATTCATGAATACATAGCATCTACGGGTGATATACTACTGGATACATAGCACCTGGTGATATACTACCTGGATATATAGCACCTACTGATGATATTCATGAATACATAGCACCTACGGGTGATATACTACTGGATACATAGCACCTGGTGATATACTACCTGGATATATAGCACCTACTGATGATATTCATGAATACATAGCACCTACGGGTGATATACTACTGGATACATAGCACCTGGTGATATACTACCTGGATATATAGCACCTACTGATGGTATACTACCTGGATATATAGCACCTACTGATGATATACATGAATATATAGCACCTACTGATGATATACGAACTGGATATATAGCAACCACTGTTGATATACTACCTGGATATATAGCACCTATCGATGATATACTACCTGGATATATAGCACCTACTTATGATATACTACCTGGATATCAAGCACCTGGTGATATACGACCTGGGTATATAGCACCTACTGATTATATACAATCTGGATATATAGCACCTACTGATGATATACGAACTGGATATATAGCACCTACTGATGATATACATGAATATATAGCACCTACTGATGATATACGAACTGGATATATAGCAACCACTGTTGACGCTCAAACCGATCTGGTTCATATGTCAGCTTTTAATGAAATACAACCAGAAATATGTACCACGTACGTATGATATACACCCCGGGATATATAGGAGCTATTGATATACATCCTGGGATATATAGCAGCTATTGATACACATCCTGGGATATATAGCAGCTATTGATACACATCCTGGGATATATAGCAGCTATTGATACACACCCTGGGATATATAGCAGATATTCGAATCATATAGACACGTATAAGTATTCCACGCATCAAGTGCCACGCCGCTACATTTTGCAAATCTATATTTTAAACACGTACAGCAATCTTAATATACGCAGAACCAATACAACCTTAACATATATATTAACTGGATTCCCGAGTTCTGTTTCCCCATTGAGTTTGATATCAGATAAAGTGATGTCTGCTAAAGTTGAAAATGTTTAATATTCTGCTAGATTTGCCATCTTATGGCGGTGGGCAGGTGTGATCGCCTCTGACACAGCGATAAGCACTCAATTTACAGTCTGTTACGCTGATACATTTGTGCAGTTTCTTAAACTACCCCTGGATGTAATCTCTTCCCGTGTGTTAATGGGGAAGGCCGTGTGCCCACGTGTTTGGGCGTACAGTCCAGTGCCAACTAGAGATGGCAAACGTCAAGCCCAAGAACTCTTGTACCAGATCCTCCCTCCGAGTGATGCCTCCGCGTCAGGAAACACGTCAGTTAATCGGTGAAACGCTCACAGTTATATCTTCAATTTGATCAGGAATTCCAACTTTTTATTTGTACGTATTTAAATTATTCAAATTGTTTGTATTAATACATACTTATACCAAATCGATACTGTACCTCACCACTATGGAATATCGCAAATATTCGTACTAATTTTCGAAAACTATTGAAACTGTAACATACGGTCAGTGATATTGAAATTATTAAAAGGTCATGCCTATAGAAATAATTGCAATACCATACAATATGAAAATAATCTAATAACCACAAGTTAGGACCCTGCCAGAAAAGATCCAAGGGAGGTAATATTGTAGTAATATGATAATGTGTGCCTTCCTCACACCAGTTAATTCTTTTTTAGATTCTTTTGTATGTGTCTTTTCTGTAGAAGGAGGGCTGATTCTGAGGTACAGGTGATCAGTTTGTCTGGCCTTGTGTACCTTACTGTTAATACCCCATGATGTCACGTGAGTGGTATTTGTCTTCTTACTCTTTGGACACGTGGACCTAATGACGTGTTACACGCTATATGTTTTTACAAAAAATCGCCAAGATATACGGGTTCAACAACAAACGAACCTGACAATTTCAGCAAACGATTTTCCCCACCCATTATCTCCAGCATGCTGGTGCCCATGGTAACGAAGACCGGATTAACTAAACCCTATTGGATAACGGACTTGAACGGACTGAATTCACTAAACATGTAAAGCATATCTAAATACTGCCTTGATTACAGACAGGTCTGACTCGCGTCCCGTTAATAAGCAAGTATATTTGTGTTACCTATTACACAAACATGTGATTAGAATCTCTCTTTAATGAATAGTAATTTACAACAGATAAACTGATATGAAAAAACTAAATATACATTGTGTGTCCATATATGAAAAGATGTAAGACATTACTAGGGGGACATTGTAGGGTGTGTGCAGGTGTAAATGATCCACTTACAAACACGGTTCATAAACAGACACATAATATCTATATCCCAGCAATATTACAACGTAGGAATTCAAGAAACAACTTGATATACTGTACATACCCATACTTGGAGTCGAACCCGGGTCTCAGCATGAGGAGAAACACCTACCCACATAGCTACCCTACCACCCGTGATTTGATATTTTACAGGGCATGTAGCTGACGAATAGTAACAAATTACTTAAAAGATTATATAGTAAAAGATTAATAGTCATACCCTCTAACCCATGCCGGAATATTGAATTCCAACTGGTGGACAGTAGCAGGAAATTCATTAAATCTTTTTTTTAACAAAGACAGGCCGATTTCAAATAAACAATGACGAATGCAAAAAGAAGTTGGAAGTCGACAGATTGTCCTCAGACTTTTATCAGGAAGTTAAACATCATTACAGATTTCTTTTTTTCTGTAAAAATTATCCAATCATGCGATAACTTAGCACAACATATGCCTAGCAGGGAGGAAACAGATCTTAAAAATCTTTATCAGACTGTGAATGGAAAGCGAAACGTCTGGTACAAAAAGTATCGTGCTCGGTCTAAGAAACACTTTTATCGAGAGAGCGGGTTACTTGTAAAGAGGTTAATTTTTAAAGCAGATTGAAATCCTTCCCCCTTCCCGCAAGCATTGCCTTCTAGCGTTAGGCAGCTGTCGTGCAAACACAAATGTGGCGCGGTGGTTCGTCGGTAGAGCGCCCACCGACAATAAGGTTTGTGCGGATTTGTGGTTCAAACGGACCAGACATGCCCAAACCGCCAGCACCATACATAGTGACTTTGCTGCCTTCAAACGACATTTTGTAATCCTATAAACATTCGTTTGAGAAAATTAAAAAACAACATTAGCTCAATCATTAGTTTTGTAATTAATTCATTCATTTCATATTTATTTCATTAAAATCCCGTTTTCACAAGAATCATAGATCGAAAGCATTCCCAGTGGTGACCTAATGAACAAAATGATTTCCAAATTCCTAATATGTTTACTGTTAAAATTAAGCCTCCTTGTGTTCCATGACAAGCTACACTTGATCAGAAATATCTGTCATGCACTGCCTGTAAAAGAAATGCAAATAGCATAATAAAATATAATAGTTCGTATCCAAACCCAAGACCCTATATTCCACTGAACCCCAAACAGAACCACCATCCTGTCAAAAGAGGAAGCAGCACATTCCCCAGTACGAGAAGATGTCTTCCATTTGTAAAATCAAGCGATAGTACGATAGTAACCAGGAACATTTTCCTCCTCTCCCTCTCTCTCTCTTACACACACACACACCACCTCTGCTACATCTACAACACACGTCTACACACCACGTCAAGAGACACAAACAACTCTACACACACACATACACACACAACAACGTCTACACAAATCCAGTGTTCAAAACATACCTGCCCGTAGGACCGTCAACACAACGTCCACACACACACCATATCTACACCTACGTCAGACACACCACAACGTCTACACACACACACACACACACACACACACCATATCTACATCTACGTCAGACACCACAACCTCTACACACACACCATATCTACACATACGTCAGAAACACCACAACGGTTACACACACACCATATCCACACCTACGTCAGACACACCACCACGTCTACACACACCATATCCACACATACGTCAGACACACCATAACGTCTACACACACCATATCCACACATACGTCAGACACACCATAACGTCTACACACACACACCGTATCTACACATACGTCAGACACACCACAACGTCTACACACACACACAATATCCACACATACGTCAGACACACCACAACGTCTACACACACCATATCCACACATACGTCAGACACACCATAACGTCTACACACACACACAATATCCACACATACGTCAGACACACCACAACGTCTACACACACCATATCCACACATACGTCAGACACACCACAACGTCTACACACACCATATCCACACATACGTCAGACACACCACAACGTCTACACACACACCATATCCACACATACGTCAGACACACCACAACGTCCAAACACACCATCTTCACACGCGTCTACACACACCACAACATCTACGTGGGTAGCGGTAGGTGTATCCTCGATTGTGCTACAAGAAGAAATGGCGCCATTGGACGAGTTCACTCAATTCCGTGGCGGTACAATCTCCTCAAACTGCCAATACAACCAGGATTGTAGATGTTTTGTTTTATCGTGGATCACATACAACTGTGGTGTCAATTACATTCGAGAACAGTTCCAATACCTAGCTGTAATTGTGCTGGCATGTATTGTTAGATAGAAATAATTGATAGGCATAACCTTGCGCAATGTGCCATTTTCTTATACTATAGTATTATAATTAAAGATATTGGCATGAGATCTCGCTTTCAACCGGAGAAACATCTCGCGTTGTATGGAAGGGTTTTTAAAAAAAGAATTGGTATGGACACCAATGTAATAGCTTCGTATTTACATCTAGCATTGATCGATATTCTAAGCTTCCGTCAAATCGATAGGAGAGGCAAGAATAATACTACCGCCAATCGGTTTTCATCTTAAGTCATGGAGAAGGTTCGTTTCATCAATCGTCTTGTGATGTTTACAAGCCCGTTGTGAGCTCGCAGTGGTGCATTCTCTGGTCGGAGAGAAAGAAAGGAAGAAGGGAAGAGGGAAAGGAAGGAGGGAAAGACATGTAAACCTTACCGTGGTATCGCACGCACAAAAACCCTCAGTATGGTTACAGCACATCCGCCTCAGAATTTTCTCTAATCCAAAAGCGCAAATATTGAACCCTCCTCAACAGACAATGTCGAGGCTTCACTAAGACGGATAACACAAGGCTTTAATCCACAACGGTCTTCTACAAATAACGTTATATCACAAGGTAGCACACACTCCGCGAGGTCTTGCCTCAAACCACGCACTTGATAGGACTGGCGTAGTTCTCAAGTCGGTCGTCAGGGGGCGCAGTCTGATCCACCTCCACATTCTCATAGATAGGGGTCGTCTCAAGACATGTAACCTTAATTCATATATGTGTATTCATATGTATCGCTAAAGACAGTACAAACAATTTTGATTGTACACGCTAGAAAGTACATGATACCATCGGCATATGTATATGCAATGTTTAGCTTATAGTAACGGACATCGTAATGTGAAAGAAATAATGAGACATACGTTTGAAATGTTCCCTCAACAGATGTTAAATTTGATAACCCGCCTTTCTCGAGCTGTGCCTGATTTCTCGGAGGATAGCGCACGTTTACATGTAAAACAGTGTAACTGTTCAATCGAAAAATCCACTGCTATTCATGCTTGGTCAGAGATTCGTAACTAAACTGCTTTTAAATAAACTTGATGTTTGAATGAGAAAAACGGAGTGATAATTTGTCTTGTGTCTGGACTTTCTGTCTTTTCTGAAAGTAATCAGTGTGTGCGTGCGCGCGCGTGTGTCTGTGGTTGTGCGTGCGCGTAAGGGTCGTGTGTGTGTAGTGTGTAGGTCTATGTGTGCGTGTGTCTGGGGTGTGAGGGTCGTGCGTGCGTGTGTCTGGGGTGTGAGTGTGCGTAAGGGTCGTGCATGCGTGTGTGGTGTGTGTGCGTGCGTGTATCTGGGGTGTGAGTGTGCGCAAGGGTCGTGTATGTGTGTAGTGTGTAGGTGTGCGTGTGTCTGGGTTGTGAGGGTTGTGCGTGCGTGTGTCTGGGGTGTGAGTGTGCGTAAGGGTCGTGCATGCGTGTGTAATGTGTGTGCGTGCGTGTATCTGGGACGTGAGTGTGCGTAAGGGTCGTGCGTGTGTGTGGTGTGTCTGGGGAACGAATAAGCTCATTTTAACCTGATATTAACTTTCATCTGTAAATGAATATTCTATGTATTTTTCGTCACTAGTTTCAAGTACCCCGCCATCCCACCCCTTTCCTGGATTCGCCAGTGGGATATTTAGCTCACCTGATTCAAAGTCAGCTCCCGGTTGTCAGCGTTGTCTCGTGTCGTTGTCATCGGGAAAAATCTACACACCTTAGATACTTCAACACACCCAGGATACTTCAACACACCCAGGATACTTCAACACACCCTGGACATTTCAACACACCCTGGATACTTAAACACACCCTAAATACTTAAACATACCCTAAATACTTCAACACACCCAGAATACTTCAACACACCCGAAATACTTTAACACAACCTGAGTACTTCAACACACCCTGAGTACTTCACCCTGGATACTTCAACACAACCGGATTACTTCAGCACACCCTAAATACTTCAACACACCCTGAGTACTTCAACACACCCTGAGTACTTCACCCTGGATACTTCAACACAACCAGAATATTTCAACACACCCTGAGTACTTCAACACACCCCGAGTACTTCATCCTGGATACTTCAACACACCTTGGATACTGGGATACTGGCATACACCTGTCCCGAACCTACCTCTATCCTCCACCCACCTGACCCCTACCCCCGACCCTGCCTCTATCCACCAACCACCTGACCCTCCCCACGACCCTACCTCTATCCTCCACCCACCTGACCCCTACCAACGACCCTGCCTCTATATCCACCACCCACCTGACCCCTACCCCCGACCCTGCCTATATCCACCACCAACCTGACCCCTACCCCCGACCCTGCCTCTATCCTCCACCCACCTGACCCCTACCCCCCACCCTGCCTCTACCCTTACCCCTCCCCCCGACCCTGCCTCTACCCTCCACCCACCTGACCCCTACCCCCGACCCTGCCTCTATCCACCAACCACCTGACCCCTACCCCCGACCCTGCCTCTATCCACCACCCACCTGACCCATACCCCCGACCCTGCCTCTATCCACCAACTACCTGACCCTCCCCACGACCCTACCTCTATCCTCCACCCACCTGACCCCTACCAACGACCCTGCCTTATCCACCACCCACCTGACCCCTACCCCCGACCCTGCCTCTATCCTCCACCCACCTGACCCCTACCCCCGACCCTGCCTCTACCCTTACCCCTCCCCCCGACCCTGCCTCTACCCTCCACCCACCTGACCCCTACCCCCGACCCTGCCTCTATCCACCACCCACCTGACCCATACCCCCGACCCTGCCTCTATCCACCACCGACCTGACCCATACCCCCGACCCTGCCTCTATCCACCAACTACCTGACCCTCCCCACGACCCTACCTCTATCCTCCACCAACCTGACCCCTACCAACGACCCTGCCTTATCCACAACCCACCTGACCCCTACCCCCGACCCTGCCTCTATCCACCACCCACCTGACCCCTACCCCCGACCCTGCCTCTATCCTCCACCCACCTGACCCCTACCCCCGACCCTGCCTCTACCCTGACCCCTCCCCCGACCCTGCCTCTACCCTCCACCCACCTGACCCCTGCCCCCGACCCTGCCTCTATCCACCACCCACCTGACCCCTACCCCCGACCTGCCTCTATCCACCAACCACCTGACCCATACCCCCGACCCTGCCTCTATCCACCACCGACCTGACCCCTACCCCCGACCTGCCTCTATCCACCACCCACCTGACCCCTACCCCCGACCCTGCCTCTATCCACCACCCACCTGACCCCTACCCCCGACCTGCCTCTACCCTCCACCCACCTGACCCCTACCCCCGACCCTGCCTCTATCCACCACCCACCTGACCCCTACCCCCGACCTGCCTCTACCCTGCACCGTGACCCTCCATTCCACCATCAGCGCCGAAGACCTGTTGTGCAGACGTGTTAAAATGTTATGCATCAAGATCTACTTAACTCTACTGTTTAAAAAGACAGTTTACATCTATTAGTGTCGAGCTGCGTTGAGAACTCCCTGATCAAAATGTGTCGTAAGATAAGCTTGTAAACCACTGTCAGTACCACCCGTCAATCACTCCCCGCGATATGTACGACGTTCTGGCCACCTGTCATCGCTAACCGATTGTTCCTGGCTCCAGGCCTGCTTTATCTCCGACAACCCCACGTTACAGGCGCCATCTACCCCCAGTGGCTCTTCCTCCCCCACCCCACGGGATTCCATGATCACATCATGCTGGGGACAGTCAGGGGAGATGAGGAGGGGCAAAGGGTAAAGCACGTGACGATTCCCGCCCCCGCGGATCTGTGAGCAGGTTTATGTTTTACAATCCCTGAATACGTCTAAATGCGCACCATGACATCCGATACACAGAATGCGTATTTCACGCACCAGCTGAGTCAGCGATATTCTACAGTGTCGTTACATGTGAGTTAGAAACCACCATCTGGATACATTTACAGTAAACTATGTACCCCTGAAGATCCGGGTTAAATTTGGTCTTCGGGAACCCAGGCGACGATACTTGTCGTAAAAGTCGACTAACGGGATCGGGTGGTCAGATGACTTGGTTGATGCAGGTCATCGTATCCCAATTGCGTAGATCGATGCTCATGATGTCAATCACTGGATTATCTGGTCCAGATTCAATTATTTACAGAGCGCCGTCATATAGCTGGAATAATGCTGAGTGCGGCGTTAAACACCAAACAAATACAGTAAACTAAGTTTAACTCGAAGTCGACCACCTGAATCTATTTACAGTATAACTTAACTCGAACTCGACCAACTGGATCTATTTACAGTAAAACTTAACTAACTCGAACTCCATCACCCGGATCTATTTACAGTATAACTTAACTCAAACTCGACCAACTGGATCTATTTACAGTATAACTTAACTCGAACTCGACCAACTGGATCTATATACAGTATAACTTAACTCGAATTCGACCAACTGGATCTATTTACAGTATAACTTAACTCGAATTCGACCAACCGGATCTATTTACAGTATAACTTAACTCGAATTCGACCAACTGGATCTACTTACAGTATAACTTAACTCGAACTCGACCACCTGGATCTATTTACAGTATAACTTAACTCGAACTCGACCAACTGGATCTATTTACAGTAAAACCTAACTCGAACTCGACCAACTGGATCTATTTACAGTATAACTTAACTCGAACTCGACCACCTAGATCTTTTAACAGTATAACTTAACTCGAACTCGACAAACTGGATCTATTTACAGTAAAACTTAACTCGAACTCGACCAACTGGATCTATTTACAGTATAACTTAACTCGAACTCGACCACCTAGATCTTTTTACAGTATAACTTAACTCGAACTCGACCAACTGGATCTATTTACAGTATAACAACTCGAACTCGACCAACTGGATCTATTTGCAGTATAACTTAACTCGAACTCGATAAACTGGATCTATTTACAGTATAACTTAACTAGAACTCTACAATCATGTCGTTTAATAAGATTTCACTTCCCTAAATGGTTTACTTCGTTTGTCTCGAACCGGGTATCTCGGTAGACATATCATGCATTCAATGTCTATACTATTCTGAGCTGAAGAGGTTTCGCTTTTAATCGTAGCATGAAAAATAACATATTGTTATTTTGAAGACTCATAACACACCACAGAATCCTGGAACTGGGGTTGTTTCTTTTGTTTCTTACGCCAGAGTCAGCAACATTCCAGTGGCCTGTAACTAATCGAGTTATACACACTCCTGTGGTTAAATAATGACCCAAAGTGTGACGACACTCAACAAACCCAGTCACCCGATCAATTTAGTCACTCTTAGGACAAGCCACCTAGGACCAACTCATTAAGTAAGATTCGTATACATATGTACATATTGCCGATGTGACGTAAAGCATAAACTCACTCACTCACTCACATATATACAGTCATGTATTTAGTTCGAATTTGGTGTAATAGTAACGGTGGTACTAGAGGAGGTAGTTTGTTTGTTTGTTTGTTTGTTGTTTAACGCCTCACTCAGCAATATTCCAGCTATATGACGGCGCTCTGTAAATAATCGAGTCTGGGCCAGACAATCCAGTGATTAACATCCAGAGCACCGATCTACGCAATTG